TATCTATATATATCTATATATATATATTTTCTCATTTCATTTAGCCAAACCTTTGTCATTGAACGTGCACTGTGCCAGCTGGCAAAACCTGCTGAATCAGGAAATTGAATTGTCACCTCTTGTGGTTTAGAGAACCATTGGATGGAGATGGGAGTAAGCTGTACCTCATCTGCCATCACATAGTTAGATCTGGCTACATATTTATATTAAAATGGAAAAGTAGATGTGGTAAAATAAACTCTGGACTATGGAAAATATTAATCTTGTGTACTTGCAATATTTTGGTAATAGAGTTTCTTTTATGATCCTTTCTGAAAATGTACAAAAACAAACCTCCAAGTGTGAGCAATAGGGATAATGACACAGAGCGAGGGATGCGACTGTGGAACGAAGGCTTGGCACACGAAAAGTCTCCTGGTGTCACATGATGAGCTGACCTGCCTTGGCTCTACACTGGAGGATAATATGCCCTGGCTAAAAGTGTGTAGGAGGATTTAGTAGCAAAAATAAGCAAGCTTTATTGATGGACTGTGTATTATGCCTACTTAAATGCCAGTCATTTAGGAATAAGAAAAACCACACAGTGCAGAGAAAAAGTATTACTGGGCAAACTTGGCCGGCTTTATTTATAACATGTCTATACCCAAAACGTTTTATTTAATTTTGTAAAGAGTGGGGAAGGATTAGTACTCCTGTCCAGTTCTACTGCCATCAGAGCTTCCGTTGGAGAGATTCCTTTATTTGCTGTCTGGCAAAAAGTTTGTCCATAGGGCAGAAAGTGGGGGAAATTCATCAAAAAGGAGATGTAAGGAAACACCTTGGCGGAACGCCTGCTCTTGTGCGTCCCAAACTGCACGTGCGGCAGCGAGGAAGTGCTGGCAACATCCTCAATTTTAAGGGTCTCCCCAAGGCAGTGGATGGCAAAGCCAGGGCCCGCTTCCTAGGTGGGCGCTGCGTCAAAGCGCGCTCCATGCGCGTCACAAACCCATAAATTGACAGAACCCCGGTCAGAAGCCCCCCCCTGGGACGAATCCCATAGGCGTGGAGGAGGACCACCCGCCGCAGCCGACCCACCGTAGCAGAGTCTGCATGCGCTCGTCGGTCACCCACGGGAGACTACAACGATCTACAGTCATCCAGCCTGTTGCCCTGGGGACACTTGCTAGAAGAAAAATCAAGTCAAACGGAAGAAAGGAAAAAAATTCTCCAGAGAAAATTTGTTAGCTCCTGGCACTAGGCAAAAAACTGGAGACTTGTCAGCAGGTGGGGGGTTTGACCACCGGCAGGGGCCACCCCTAGGCTGTAATTGGTCTTTAGTTTTGTGCCTAGCGTCCTTCTCCTGCAGGTGGCGATATTACCCTACCATTCAGGATCTACGATCTGTTGCCTGTGTCCTTCAATGAACGGGAGAGAAAAAACATTTTGGGTAGAGATGCACTTTAATATCCCAGTTGTTACTTCAAAGAAATACAACAATGTCTATACCATTGTCCAAATATATAACCTTTTCCAAGATCAGTTGAAAGTTTTATTTCAACTGATCTTGGAAAAGGTTATATATTTTGGACAATGGTATAGACAACAGATGGTATATTTCAGCAGCATATCCTATTTCATCATTTATTTATACTGCAAGGATTACAAAAGCCACTAGAAGAGCAGCAGCAATATCTACTGACCTCCTCTTTACTGCTGTATAGCGGTGATTCTTAACGGACACCTTATTTGAGGTGTAAGAATTATGTAATATTAAATTTCATATGAAGCATTTATATTTTAAATAAGACAAAAACCAACCTACATACCAAGTGCTGCAATCAGTCAGAAATCTACTTTTTACAGTATGACTATAATGCATTGCTGAAAGCTGAAATCCTATTTGTTACCATGGTTTAATGCACATAAATGCTCCTTGCATTAGCTTATTTAAATAAATGACAGTTTTGTGGGGGGGTTTTTATCCGGCACTATTTTGGCTGTTTAGACTGGGCTTCTCAATGCAGTTGAAAATACTCTGGACTTTAGCTATTATTTAACACGTGGCATACTTGTGAAACCTTAAGAGCTGGAGCTCATCCCATGCCTAAAAATACCTACCAAACATTGACATTCTCATTACTATTTTGTTTTGTACTCATGAACATGTTTGTTTACATATGTTGGTGCAATAAGCACCTTAGGACTCCCTCTTCACTCCCCCTCAAGTAAAGCTGGCAATACACTTATAGATGTCTTTTGTTTACAGTAGGATGAACAAAAAGAAATCTAGCAGATTCCTCCATCTACGCTAAACAGCACAGATGGCAGACTCTACCCTACCAGCCATCGTTTTCTGACAGCAGGCACCCAACGCTGTCACAATACCCGCAGCTGTTCAGCCAACAACAGTATCCTCCCCAGCTCCTTTGCAGTGTGATACTGGAAGTAAAGCTTTAAAGGAGAAGTGTAGGGGAAGTAAAATGTACTCTTCCAAATACTTTGAGTCAGCAGCTATCACACGCCAGTTCTAAAGTTCGAGAACTGAGTGATCACAAACATCTGATCACACAGCTCATGGTCTTCTCCCTGCAGAGAGCGGGGACCGTCAGTTACTGCTCCCCGTGGGGATTTCCCCTCCCCTTTCTGTTCCTCCAGAAATCATTGGAGGGAAAGACAGGGGATGTGGAGGGCACAGCTGGCTCTGGCACAGTCAAAATATAGCAGGCAATAGCCTATGTGCCGAGTTTGGGTCAAAGGAGTACATAAGTAAATGTACTCCTTTGACCCAAAAGAGTATTAAAACAAAAACAAACAAAAAAATTTTAGCTTTAGTTCTCAATTTTTTGGAATAAAAATATTTTACCGCAGGGCGCTTTTATCTCAATATGTCTGGGGCTGTAACAAAGAATTGTAAAACATACTGGTTTTTTGATGTGTACTCCATCAGGAAGGCAAACTCCTTCATAAATCGTTGACATAGGTGATTTTTCTCTGGTGATCCAGACATCATTGTAAGCCAAACAGGTTCGGATATTCTCGGCATGGTGTACAGATTACAGATTGTAGTCCTGTATATTGTATAAAACACAAATATTTCTTTAATCGTTTTAGTTGAAAACAAAAGAATAGCAAAGCAACAACATAATTCATCATATAAAATAATATAACCAATTAGCCACAATTAATTGTTACTAAATTAATTTTTCAGAACGTTTTAGTGAATTTCAGTGCTACCCTTTATTGGACAACTTATGGCCAACTTATCACTTTAACCCCTTCATGACTGAGGCCCTTTTTTCAATTTTTGCACCCATGTTATATTCCACATTTTAGGCCTGAAAATGACGTAAAACCCCCCAACATTATATATTTTCTGAATGCTAAGACCCTATAGAATAAAATGGTTGTAGTTGAAAATTTTTATGTTGCGCAATATTAGCGCAAAGAAGGGGTTAAAGCAACACTTTGGTGTGCAAAAAAAAAAAGCTGGCACAGAAAGTTTTATTTTTAGAAGAGAATCTTTAGGTCTCTTCTGCAATAAAAGCATCTTACCTGTTTACCAGCAACTTTGCTTCTGTCGTTACTAAATTTTTAAAGTAATGTCATCCCTAGCCGGCCAAGATGGCAAAAGATGCTGAAACTGGAAGAAGACCAAGCAAAACTATTAAGGCCGACGAGGGAGCTCATGGACATCACATTGCTGGAGGGGAGGCAAGTATTGGTCACTTTAAATTTCAAACGTTCTAGATTAGTCGATGGCCAAGAAAGTACCAAACTCTACTACAGCCATTTATAATATATGTGCCATTAATCCTAAAGTGACATTAAAGTCTAAAAATGTTTTCCCTCCCCCCAATGTTAGTGTAAGCACTTACCTTAAATGATATTTCTTAATCCGATCATCTTCTTCTTTCCTGTTGTTTGCAGCCTTCTCTCCAGCACTGCTGCAGGTCTCTGAACCAGCACCGACTCCTCTGTGCTTGCTCGCACTTCCTGTCCCACGGTGTCTGCATGCGGGTGCACGCTGTCCATAGACTTACCTTGTGTCTCTCCTCATCTCCTGGTCGAAAATCTTAACTGCGCATGCGCCCGTTCCAAGATCCTTTGCGGCCGCCCGAGATTTTTCAGATCGCGCGCGGTGAAGACACAGGTAAGTTTAAACCCGTTTTAAAGTTTTTGCATATATCTACTGCTTGCCAACAGTAGACATATGCAACAACACCTGAGGGTTTAATAACTCTTTAAACATTTCTTATGTATATTCTTTTAAAGTGAACTTGAATGGAAAAAAAAAAATCTAAGCTTGATGCCATAAAGTGCTAGCATTTATCTTTCTTGTACTAACCTACCGCCAGAATCTTTTGCCAGAGCAGCCTACAATTTTTATGCAAGTTACAAAATGTTCAAGTCGGTACTTACACAGGGCTGTTCCCCCTTATTGCTGCCATGTGACAGCATGAAGACCTGGCCAAGCAAGTACTGAGGGGAGAAGTGTCCCTGTGTGCCCTATACCCTGATGTACTGGGTTTTAGTGGGCTCTGGCAGCAGATCCAGACAGGAAAGACAACCCCTGGGGCCTTTATGGTGCCCAGTAAGAAGCATCAGGCTTACTTCAGGTTTCCCTTCTCAGTAAAACATTTATTTTATTACAATTTCAGATGCACTACAATCGTCAAAAAATTCCTGACATTTTAAAAAAGGGAAACTGTTAAAATCCTAAGTACAACCAAACATGTTGCTTTAACCTATTTTTCTTGGCAATGGAAAAACAGATATTTAATCTTATACCCGAGAATCTCAAAAACAGTCTGTGCCCATCCTCAACAACAACCCAATGATGGACAGAACAGCTGTGGCAGCAGAAAAGAGATTAATTCCAGCAAGTCACAAATGTTGGGCTTTTTGCTCCTAATTTACATGCACTCAGTTATGACATGATGAAAATGGGACATGGACAAAGAAACCAAAAAGGTTTGTTGAAACTGTTACCTTGCTTTTCATATAAAACGTTATTAATTTTCTCACATTATTATTCCATGTGTATATTGACTATTGCATTATTCTTTTTCCTCTAGGTTTTCAGTTGTATGCAAGTCAACACAGAGATCAAATGATATTGAAAGAGCAAATTAAACTGATATTGCTAATTATAATAATAAATGATTAACCAGCAAATTAGAGCTCCACAATGATAAGATGTTATCACTTGTAAATGACATGTTAAGTGTCTGAAAATGGAAAGAAAAAACAAACAGACTGGAAGAAGGCTGTGTGGATTGAAGAACATTTTTCCATGGCACACACATACTCTTTTGAGCACTTCCTGGTATCATTCCAAGAAAAAGGATATAGTAAGCACTGGCCAGGCATTCTTCGTATGTGCACTGGAAAATTACTCTTCTCAATTGATGGCACTGACATGAACTACAAATGATTTTACATTGTAACAATATAAAGAAATCTCTTATATGTGTATAGAATTATAATTTCCTTTGTAAAAGGTACTCAAATCTAACAAGAACTAGTACAATAGTGTTGGCTAATCGCAAGTAATTGCCATGCAGTACCCTGCACTAGAAAATAACACCCGAATGCTATAAGGAATAATATACTGGTCATTTTTTCTTGTTTAGACCACTCAATTCTCCATTCTAAACAGCACCAATAAGAAAATACCCCCTCCCCCACTATTGTATTCTGACAGCAGCAGGTGTGCCGCTGTCAGAAGACCCAAACAGTGAGTGCAGATGACTGGCTGACTTGACATTTTTATTATAACTTAATTGGGCAAGCTATAGGGGATCATACCAATCATTCATGACATTATGACCACTAAGAGGTGAAGTGAATACAATTGCTTATCTTGTTACAATAGCACCTGGAAGCGGGTGGGAAAGATTAGGCAGCTAGTGAACATTTTGTCCCTGAAGTTGATGTGTTGGAAGCAAAAAAACAGAGCGACTTTGACAAGGGCCAAATTGTGATGGCTAGGTGACTGGGTCAGAGCAACTCCAAAACTGCAACTATTGTGGGATGTTCCTGGTCTGCAGTTGTCAGGACCTAGCAAAAGTGGTCCAAGGAAAGAAGACCGGTAAACCGACGACAGGGTCAGGTGCGGCCAAGGCACACTGATGCACGTGGGGAGAAAAGGCTGGCCTGAAGTGTCTGGAAAAAAGTCTGATCCATGGGGAGGTCCCACCTTGCAGCTCACAGGACTTAAGGATATGCTACTAATGGCTCAATGCCAGCACAGCATGCCTTCAAAGGTCTAGTGGAGTCCATGCCTTGACAGGTAAGGGCTGTGTTGGAGGCAAAAGGAGGACATACTTAATATTAGGCGGGTGGTCATTACACTATGGCTAATCGGTGTATATTACATAGTCCGTGTGACTGCATTACTGCGCTGTATAGCACTTCTCACTGATATGACAAATGCATTAAAGAGGCCCTATGCTCAAAATATAATGTAACTCTGAGACTGAGATTCAGGAAGCTAGCCAATCAGCAGCTCTTCACCATTCTGCTGGAAACAATATGATCAGCGTTCTGGCGTTTGATCAAGAGACCTGTTCAGAAGGCAGACCAGCATAACACTTTCTGAAGGAAAACCAAGTATTTCAGCAATTCATTTATCATTTATTTGTGTAATACACCCAGATCAGCCCCAATCAGCACAACAAAGGAGCATTATACATTTATGAATATTTCCACTATAAAACAAAGGGAGACTGTAATAATGCAAAAGTGGACTGGACAACTTTTGAGGTTTAAAAATACTTTATTCCAGTAATGTAAGAAAAAAGTACTCTAATGGAAAATGTTAATTGTTATTTACAAAAGACATGCACAAACCACGAATACAAGAATGTATATAACTGGAGGGGAGAACCTGAAATGACAGCTGCAAGTTCTTGCTTAAAGAGATTGCTTCTATCTAAAACAAATCATCACCCTAGAAGTTGTTAAAATGTGTTTGCATGAAACAAATAGACTAAGTCTTGTGATACATTATTTACTATTCTGGTAACCCTGGCTGAATCTGCTGCTGATAGTGTTGCCTCCAAGACAGATCAGATTGCACTGGCTGCCGTCCAGCAGACATGTGACTGCAATAAAGGGAACCTTCCACAGCAGAAATTAGAGTATTAACGGCTCTCAGTCCAAGGGCACAACATAGGCACTCTGTTCACAGCTCGCATTCTATACACAAGTACCCCGGTTACACATAAACTAAGTCCTTATTTGAATTGTCATTTGAGAGTCGATTACCAGTCTACTGCTAAAATAAACTGGTTTTCTGAAGGAAATATCATACTGAACAACTCATCTGTGTAAAAAAACAGACACTTTATTAGAAATCTGTCAAAATGTCCCTAATATTTGCAAACCGGCCCGTTGCCTATTAGGGGTCTTTGGGGACATAGCATTAAACTAAGCTACTGAACGCCTCCCCATGCCTCCTTTTTTACAATGCAAAATAATTTGCACTCAGGAGAATTATGGGGTGAATGAGCCGCACTCGAGAAATAAATCTTCCATATGTTGTTCAATCCATGAGCATAAGTAACCTGTACACCAAAACACTTTACGGTTGTATGTCAGTGTACAGCTTACTTATACTCATGGATTGAACAGCATATGGAAAATTAATTTCTGGAGTGCGGCTCCTTTTTTTACACTTGGATTTAGTGCCTCTCAGGCTGTGGCGTGCCCTTGGAGCCGACACTCGACGAAAGCAGATGAGATCCCCGGATTGTGGAGGTGGATGTGAGCGGTGTATATGTTTTGTGTGATCGCATGGAGTGAGTGAATTACAGCCAACGTGTGACACTGAAGCCGTCACACATCAGGTCTATTGATTGGGAACTGGGCAATAACTTACCACTGAACGCTCAGTTCCCGATCATATCAGATCAGTCATCGCTACCCGCAGGGATTCCCCCCTCCATTCCTCTAGTGCTGCCTAAAGAAGCTGAGCGAGCTGTCAGCATAAAGTGGGCAATAGCTCCCTTTATGCCGTGTTTTGGGTCATAGGAGGACATTAGTCTAAGTCCTCCTGTGACCCTAA